TCTCTGATTTTTCAAACTCATCTTTAGGCTGGTCTTGGAGCCCTTTTAAAATTTCTTCCTTACAAAGGTTGAGTAAAATTAACTTCATCTGCCCCCAAGAATGACATTAGCAAAACTTACATTATCTGATAATTTTTTCCAATGTGTTTGGTTGTGGTTCATTTTGGGTTTTTTGCAACCCTAGGAAATTACACATAAAATTGACATTTAAAGAAGCCATGGACATGAAATCAAGAACTCAAGAGTTAGGAAGCCATATTATTAAAGCTGTTTACACCCTAGTCTTTAATGTATTTCTATGCAAACAGTTCAGTTATGAGCTCGTGCTACCAGTTTTGATAGGGCTCAATGCCTCAACCACCCCAATGATGATCATATCTGTTATAAGAACAGGTCAGGGCATTATAACATAAAAAAATTTGATTTCTACGGGAAATAAACTTTGACAAAGTTGAACGAATAAGGCAGCAAAAAAAGCAAAACAGTCCTGGTTAATGCAGCCAAATGCTGCACTGGAGAAGAGGATTCAGCTCTGCTGCTTTCTTGGACTGCTCAACAGGTACTGAGAAAATCATTGAACCCAAATGTTTCTCCAGCAGTTGCTGACTTCTCATATCTCTCCTCCATACCCAACACTGCAGGTTGGCAATATAAGATGCCAAAGCACTCAAAACCAGGGAGTTTCCATGAAACATGAAGTTTCAATGATCATTGGACCTTAAATGTGAATAGCTTGCTGTCATTTTGAGTCACCTCACAGTCCCAGACCCACCCAGAACCTGTGACCATGCTGGACCTGAAACTCCTCGAGCCTCACTTCTTCCTCTGTGAACTGGGACAATGCTATTATTTCTCTTTTTAGGGGAACTGTAAAAATACCATGCAGAGCCACCACCTTGTATGCATATGTAAGCACGTGGAGGTCAGGGTATTACTTGGGTATTACAGCAGTAAGTGCCATAGGAAAGCCCAGCAGTAATTATTAATTCCATCTTCAAGCTCGGTTTGAATACAGCTCAACAAACGAAGCACGGAAGAATGAGGGCAAGATAAAATATTGACTAGCTGCTCCATCATTGTCTGGGCTGTGCCCTAGATAGCACAAGGGTGTTTTGAAAAAAGCAGAATGGAAACACCTAATAAAGGCTGGAGCTTTAAGGATTTGAATTTTCAAACTTAATTTTTTTTTTAAGATCATTTCGATGCAGTTGTACATAACTCTAAATAGAGAGACAGTCACATATAGGCATGCACATATAGAAAGGTTATATAGGCACAAATATACAAACATTTATCTGTGTGTACCAAGTCTTTTCTAAAACATAAATAAGCATCTGACACCTAGTGCAGTCTCTGATGAGAATTGCCCTCTCTTCCTTGTAGACTACTACTAGCAATTATTTACCATTCGTTCTTAATGGGAAGGGATTCAGGGGAGATGTGGTGAGCAAGAAAACCGTATAGATTGTTCAGTATAGCCTGGCTGGCTCTCAGCTGAGGCAAGAAGTGATTGGCTCACACCTCGTGGATATTTCAATCACAGTTTTTATCACCTGGGAAAAGCACCTTATTAACCTGTACTTGGTCAGGTCTCTACCTGACCATATAGGCTCTACGTCCATATAGGCTGTCAAGACCATACAAGTGCCCCTTCTAGTTCATGCTACCAGGCTTCGAACCCTAAACTACTGTGGGGTTAAACAACCAACACAACAGAGACTTGAATGGCATAGATTTATTTTTATTTTGCAACAGGGTAAAGGCTCCCTCTTCCCATAATAGAAACATCCAACTGAGGCAAAAAGATTCTCCTAAAAGGTAATGGTGGTGATTCGCAAGTAAAGCTGTCATGTGGCGGGGGGGAAAGTCCTCCATGTGGATTATTTCATTACTTTTAAAAAAAAAAAACAACTCAAGGAAAAGGGTCATGGTAAAGGGACTGTGGTATTTTTAAAGACATGTGCCCTACTGCGGATACATTTTCTGGCACGTCTCACATCATCACCCCATTCCTGTGACTCCTCCACCATCAGCAGGAGTTATATGCATCAGCCTGGGGAGCCCCAGCACCGGGCAGCCCATGTGTGAAAAGCACCATTTTTTTTTCGTTACGGCACAGAACTGAAGTATGCAACCAGCACATACTGTAAAGGCATTCAAGATATGACAGAAAAAAAATTGTTTGAATGCTTTCAATCTGCAGAAAACAAATGCTCTCTTCACTGATTGCTCTGTGGCAAACTTCTAATTCCAGCCAGAAAATCCAGCATTCCCAGTCTGGGCTAACGACCATGCTACCAGACATGAGTTTATGTTTTTCATGCACATTTCATGTATTCCCACACGCTGTGTTGCTGCCAATAATTTATGACTGATCTGCACCCAGCCTGCCCTTCAGCATTTTATTTAATCTCTGCAACAGTGATTTACAATGACTCATCATTAATACAAAAATGTACATGTGTGTTAACAAGTTTGGAAGAATCTAAGAAGGAAAGCAAAAATTTTTTTGCGAGTTGTGGCTGAATGACTTATGAGCCTGCTGAAGAAAGGCAAAACTAACCAGAAATGATATGTTAGTTTTTCCCTGCAGCAAATTATTTAGGCAAGAAGAGTTTCTTCTGAACATTGCCTTGGAAGAAAAGAGACTCAACAAAGGCCTGGAGAGGGTTGCCCCATACCCTCCAGGATTTTGGAGGGGGTGAGTACCTCATTGGTCATGGGTATTTCTCATGCAACCTGTGCTTTCAGCAACAGCTTCACAGCCTCCTTGTTCCTTAGCATTCATTACAAAGAGCAGGGACTGAATTGCCATATTTTGGCATCTTTGCCCACCACCTGTGATTTAAGAAACCCTGACTGCCTCTACAGTGTTGAATCCTTGTTCCGCTGGGGAGAGAAGGGGAATTGTCTCAATAATTTATGCAATTGTAACACTACAGCAGAATTACTGAACTAGCTCAAGCAGAGGAAGCCTGCCCTACATCCACAAGAATTCAGTTATAATGTATTTGACCTCCTTTTTTTTTTTTTTTTAACTAGCACATGAGGAACTTATAAGAACACACCTGACAGAAAGCCAAAGCAAAAACTCCTCATATTTGAGGTGAGATGGGTACTAAAAAACACCCTGGAAAGTCACTCGGCAGAAATTCAAACAGCTTTAGTTCAAGGCATCCCACGTTCATCATCTTGAAAAATTTCTTTGATGGACCATCCTAAACTGACACACTTTGCACACACACGCTCCCAGACCCCGCAGAAGCAGCACACCCTTAACTCCACCCCATCGTTAAATAAGACCCTGAGGAATATACACAACTTCTCAGTGGGCCAAAGTGCCCATCGTTAAACTGAAGGACAACCATATAAATTAGGGTAATGCCCAGACGAAGGTTGGAGGATGTAAAGCTGAAGCAAACACTAATTTTTTCTGGCCAAGCCAAAATGCTGTAGGTTACGCTACCTTATAACACATAAATTTTATGTTTAGTGCCTTTTATTCCTCCTTTTTAAAGTGTCTGGGAAGCATACTTCATATCCACTAAGTATTTGGTATTTTCCTTTATTCAGCATCTTAAAGGGCTTCAAAAAATTGATCTCCCAGGGCTGCTGTGGGGTCACAGAAATTGATAACCCTTACAAGCTATGCTTATGTGAGCCCGCCTGCGTCTCCCAGATAGTGCACTTTGTAAATTAATCCTCCAAAGGCAAATATATTGTAAGTAGCTTGTTATCTCCAAAGTACTAAATTGAAGAATACATGGGATTATATTGACAGAAATTACATTTTCTGTAATGGGGTTTAATATATCTGAAATCTCTCCCATAGGCTCCTACTCTCTCTAAGAGAGGAGGGTTTGTTAATGTAGGTGCAATGGACATCAAGACCAAATTTATTCACTAAAATGGATTAGGCCATGTAATCAGAGCTTCAGTAATATTAATCTCTGACACTTATTGAATGGAAAAAAAACCCCAACTTTTGTCTGCAAACTGGGATTCCTCCCTCCCTTTTCCCCAGCAGGCTTGCTGTTTGCCTTGGCCATTTTCTGGGTATTACTTCAAAGAGGATAAGGTTTCCCATCATAAACACTAATCTAAAAATATTAGGACAATTAATTAGATACACTTAGTTTTACAAGGTATTAGATTGCAATACACTTCAAATATGACACTTGTTCTGGGATAGTGGGAGGAACCTACATTTTGATGCAGTATCAAAGGGTGATAAATCAAACTTTTTTTAAAAAAGGTTTGCTGTTGTATGACACTTAAATCACAAGTAATTTTCACTGGTTGCCTTCACCACACCCTGGACACTTAGTGACCCAAAATCCACTGCAGAAACAGCATAAATCCTGATTTCCTTCAAACAAATCTCTACTGTAACAGATCAGGGGCTCCACCAACCCTTAGCTAAAACAAATAAATGAAATTGCTCCACACTGTACTTCAGCAGCAAAGAACCAGATTGTCCTCAAAGTTTACTCACGCTTTCAAAAACAGATCTTTAAAGCAAACTCATAAACAGACACGAGGATGTCAGTCAAAAAAAACCCCTCCAACAACAACAATAAAAAAGCATGACAGCCCCCCCAAATAACAACACACTTGGCAGAAATGGGACCAACTGCCCCTTTTCTTTCACTCAACATCTAAACCTCTTCCAAGACCAATGTTCTGCAAACAGATGTGCCTTCCTACTGAAGAACACACATCCTCAGCCAGAAGGAGGACTGGCACCCAAATGGCAGTCTGAAATCCCAATCACTGAAAATTTGAAATCTGAAACACTGAAATCTGCCCAAGCAATGGGAAAATAAAAATACAGTAGGCAAACCTCCTAGTTCCTATACCTGAAAGCACTCACTTGGCTATATCCCTTTTGCATCAATAAACTGCTGGGGAGGGGAACAACAAGGGCAAGGTGTGTCCCCAAAACCACAAAGCCAGAGGGTGCCAGGGGCCATACAGAAACACTAAGTAAAATTACTTACCAATTGTTCACTTGAAGTATAGTGAGCCCTGTGTCTTGTGCCAACTGCTTTTTCTGTTCTTCTGAAGGGTAAGGGTGCTATAAGACACCAAAATAAATATATACATTTAAAACAATGCGCTTTTTTTTGCCTACTTTTTATTTTAAATTAAAAAAAAATGCAAAAAAATAAAACCAAAACAAAATAGAAGCATGACATCTATTACTGAAAGGTGAAAATGCTGAGGTGTGTCACTCTTTTATAATTATTAATGGGCTAGTACATCACTTAATTAATGGCAGTAAAAGACAAGCCAATTATAAAGATTAGTGAAGTGGAGAAATAACTGCTTAGGATACTGACAGTACCTTGATACTTGAGAAGGATATTTGTTGCATTAGCTGCAAGTTTTTTGTACTTGTCTCAAATGACTGAATAGAGTCAAATCATCTTTTTTGTTGTTTTTTTTCTGTATTTCACAGAACAATAAAGAATGTGATAAAGCACTTCTCTGTAAAACTAAAATACACTGATGTTTTCTGAGATAGTGAAGGCAAAATTTGCCAGTGCCCCCAAATAATTTGCAAATAAGATCAGCATCCTGAACATAAACAAACGCCCGGGTTTTGAACACAGGCCAACAGAAGGTCAACAATCAGCACATTTTTGCCTGACATTAGCATAGCTGTGCTGCACTAATCCTAAGAGACAGAAAATAAATACTGCTTTAATTGAAGATAATGTTAAAATTAAATCATAAATTAAGTTTCTTGTGAGAACTTGATTTGCTTTCTCAGAAAATTCGCTTCTGCATGAATACAGATTGCTTAATAAATCAACAGCAAAAACCACAGCCAAGTTTGAAATGTAGAAATATCATTTCTGTCCTTTCCCTCTATGTAAAAATATCACTGTCCCAAAAGGAAGTGGCCATATATTGCAAATGTAACAATTTCAAGGAAAAGTCCTGTTTTGAGCATCTGGTTCAGCTCCTAACCTGGATGCCCACACATTAGATTTAGACATGGTTTGCTGCAAGGTGCTTAATAGCATTTCAATAAAGATAATTTGATATAACTGCTTAGACCCATCTCAACACCATTTAGCAATTGATTGTCACAAAGTATTTGCTGTTACACAATCATCCCCTTTTTTTCCCCAAAAACATTCCCGTATTCTGTGGATGTATTCTTCAGTGTAATATTACATGAGATGTAAACTGAAACCTTGTAAAGCATAAGAATTTAAAACCTCATAAAATTTCACAATCTTATTGGTATCGTAACTATTTAGCAGATTTTATATATTCTTGTAAACAGCACAGTCTGACATCTCATGGTAATGTTACGTGCCTATATCACCTCATGTTACCAAACAGGAATTTTTGTTTTAACTCCAGCAACTTCCCCTAACTCAATATGCCCATTTCAAAGGCCACCACTGTGGCCATCAGCTCCATAAGAGAAGTTTTAATTTTTTGTCACCCAAAAACACTGGGGAATTTTCAATTCTTTTTAAAATACTGTTTTCTTGACAGGAAGCCCACAAGTAACCTGCACACCCGTAAACCACCCCCTTTATTTTCCACGTGTACATGAAAAAATTTCAGAATTACAAAGTGGAAAATAGAGGGAAGGGGATTTTACTTCTTTTTTCATGGGTAATTTGTATTTTACACATGCAAAAACATGGCATGCATTTTATTGTTTGCTTCCTACACACATTCACCCACAACAAACAGGCAAACTTGACTTATGCCCATCTATCTGAATACAACACTTTGCTTCCCTTCAAAAGGAAAAAAAAACCCAAACCCTACGGAGATGATTTGTAACATTTTCATCTTCACAGCTTACTTCCCATTTCATTACTTTGCTATCAAGTGAGGACAGAATTATTCTTTTTTTTTTCTTATTTTGCTTTGCCACCTTACATGTGATCTAATTTTAAGTAATTGAACAAACTGTGTCTAATTTCATGCAGCAAGCAATAATTACTAGACAGCCTCTAGCTATTGGAATTGAGAAGTCTGTCTCCATTAAGCAATTTTCAATTGTTCTGGACTTTTTTCCAAATAGACAAGACTGGATAAAATTAGCCATCAGAATAATACAGTCACTGTAAAAATAATTGCTTTAAAAGTCCCAACCCCCCAAATTCCTCAAACTGCGGTATGTTTAAGCACATCTGATTTTTTTTTTCTTCATATCCTAGTACAGCATAAACTTTTAATTTCATGATAAATCTGTAATTGCCATAATCACATGACAGCCTGGGATTTCACATAGCTAATCCCTCTCAGCTGAAGGCTCACAATGCAGCAGGCTTTTTAACTATCATTCGGTGTGGTTTAAAGTAATCTTAAACACTAGGCATCCTTATTATATAAGCTTTCTGTGGATCGTACGAGTTGTTCCTTTGTAGGCTAAAAATAAAATAAATAAAATAATAAAAATGACTTGACAAAGAATCAGCGTGCCACAGGCTAGGTTGCTATAAAAACATTCAAAATCTTGTTGCATTCCCACCCACAGGGCTCAGAAGGCCTGTGCTACAGGCAAAGGCAGACATCACATTTCAACAGAGAGAAAGGGGGAAACCCTGAGAACTGCCATTTTATGAAGAAATAGGAAATTCAATCGAAACTGTTGCTGTTGGCCCTTATTCTGCCTGTGCAAGAGCGACAAGTGCCTTCCGAAAGCTTTCTAATAGTTGTTTAAAGGGATAAAGACACATGCACATAGATATGGGTATACATATTTGTGTGTATATAGGCATATTATATTTTCATGAGTATGTATATTTTCATGAGTATATATATATTATATTTTCATGAGTATGTATACAAATATATATATATATATATATATATATATATTAGTCAAATGGTTTTGTATATATATATTTGTCAAATGGTTTTGTTTAACATAGTCCTGTGAGGAGCAAAAAGTTAGATTTGATCCTTATGGGTCCCTTCCAACTCGAGATATTTCATGATTCTATGAAATATATAAATATATATATGGAAGCATGTCTAAAAACACCACACTGACTCCAGTTGCCAAGTCCACCTATCGCTCTGGATCACTTTGGGATATCAAAGCAAACTGTTCAATAAACAGTGACTTGAGACCTTTACTTTGTTGTGTACATTAGCTCCTACCATTATCTCTTAAAAGCTTAATTATTTGCAAACAATTGATCAAGATGGGAATTGGAGAAAAGAGACGCCGGACCACCGGGGAGAGCTGCAATGCATTAGGAGAGCAAATAGAATTACCTTTAGGTCTTATAATCAGAATTAACGATTGGGACCTTATGCAGGGCAGCACGAGAAGCTGTAACGCTCATGTTGGAGTGTTTTCCATTTGATCTGCATTAACACCTCAAGTGAAAGCCATAAAACAGTGATTACAGATGGGAAGGCTGACCCTCCTTCCCAGAACCAGCCCAGCTTGTGTATACTGGAAGACTGCAGACGGGCTTTCTTGCCAAGGCCAGAGGAAAAGGGCAAATCCAAGGGGAAAAACAAGCAGGAAGCCATCAGGTTGAAAAAGAAAAATTAAAAAAAAAAAAAAAGGGCATAAGGCTGACAACAGATAAGGGCTCTGAATTTGGCTCTGATATTTTCTGATCAAGCCTGCTGCTGCTACAGCACTACAGAGTAGCATCCACCGAACGATATGAGACCTTGTGCTTTTTCCCTTCCATAAATCTAGCGCTGAAATGCGGATTGTTTGGCACCATTAATGTGTTTTTGAGGCTCTGTGGTATTACTTTTAATAACGACTTAGTACAGAAAGTGATTGCTTAATAACACCATCAAAGTCTGCATGCAAATGAAAATTATCCCTGGGGGATTTGCCCAGGGTAATATGAACAGTTAAGGAACATTTGAAAAGGTAAAAATAACTATGCAAAATATGAGTCAGAGCAGTCGTTTTAGCAGTAACAAAGAAATCAAAGTGACAGAGGGAAAAATGTAAGTTTCCATCATATTTTCTAGTCACTGTTTTATGAATGGTATTTAGCAAGCAATAGTCTTAATAAAAGCCCCTTTTCGAATGTAGCTGAGAGCATTTTTAGCAAAAAAAACAAACCAATAAGACTTTTTTTTTTTTTAATCACCTTTGACTACAGACGGTGAGTAAAGTCTCCAGTAGATATGGATGGAAAGCAGCCAAGTTTGTCTCTTAATGCTACACCTTGTCCAAATGTACTCCTTTCCTCAAATTTTCCACCCCAGGCGGCAAATGCTGGATGCCAGGACAGTGACAGACTTTATCTTATCTGTAACCTGGTATCAGAAACACTCCCTCCCTCTCTGCCATAGCAGTGCATCCAAATCGTGGCAGAAAAATAGGAAAACAATCCTGCCCAGAGTTCGCCGCTGAGATAACGGAAGGCAAAACCACCCCTTCTCACTGCCCCCAGGTTACTAATTCCTCATGGCACCAAACCGGCTCAACACCAAGGCTGACAGCCAGCCCTACTCCAGCACCGAGGCAGGAGCAATCCCCAAGCAAAAGGTTTCATGCTACGTTAGAAGGAGGCTGTGGCAACTGTCCAGCATCACCCTTATCGTGGCAGCGCCGTCGCTTGGCTGACCGCACCGGCGGAGCCATCTCGGAAGTCCTTTTATCCCCTTCCTCCAACCCTCTGCCTCCTCCAGAGTTCAGTGTAATGCACCAAAGTGAGATGACCTTGAGCTAAACTCCGGTAGGTGATGGAGAGAAAATGCCCCCCTAAACTGTATGCCCTCAGGAGCATTTATTAACTGTTTTCTTATGTCAAAATAGAAAATAAAAACAAACAAACAAACAACACCATAATTTCCTAGTTTCCAAAGAGAAATCCAGCCTAACTCAGTATCCAGAATAAAGCCCAAGGTTCAGCCCTCCAGTGACAAACTGCACATTGATTTTGTGCTGAACTCTAAATTCTTGCTTTACTCAAACTTGTCGAGGGTCAGCTAAGGTGGCAGCGCAGCCGTTTGGGTCTCTCCCCTTCCCCTACCTTCTCCTGGTCTGCATTTGAACTGTTTACATTAGTGATCAAGTTGATCTACGAGAAATTACAATTTTTTTAAATATCCATA